TCAAAACCATGAACAAAGATGATCTTGTATTTGGCCTTGTCTTTTGGGACACCGTTCTCTTTGTAGGCCAAATGCCTACCATCTCTGAGTTTTATTCTAGGCCCTGTTACAGGTGGGCCATTTGGAGAACCACAGACCTTGGGTGGTGGAGGTTGGATGGCCTGATAAGCCCATGCAAGAAACCCCAAAAGCAGGACTACTGATATCTTCTTCAACATATCTGTAACAGTGAACATCCACAAACATTAAGGACACCCATTTAAACCAAACCTTGACTTTCAGATAAAAAACCATTTCTTTTCATATATTCAGCTCTAGAAATGATAAGAATCCAGGTCTTGATGGAACGAAATTTTGTATCAAATTGGTTTTACTGTTCTTTCACAAACTTCAAATCAAAGTTAATATTTGAAAAACGATTTAGGGAATGTAATCTAAAACAACGATATTGTAAAAAGATTAATCATCAAAGAACCAAATGAATCAGAAAGAAGAAATGAAACCCACCTGAAGGAAGTTGAAATGAACTGCTCTCAATTGCTTTTGGGGTGTGACTTGTGAGCCCTTGCTGATGCAGCTGATATCTTTTTGTTTGCTCCCACCATTTCTACAACTGCTCTCCCCTGGACCTTTATAGTGAAAAATTGAAGAAAAGTCTCCACAAGAGAATGTTCTGAACACATATAAAAAGCAAAATTTGAAGTTTGATTCCATATGAGGTTTCTGAAAATCTCTAGCTGGTAGCTACGCCTAACTTTTTTGACTTTAACGGCTATGAGGAATTGCAATCGGAACGTACCCTGTGAAGAATCGTGCAATCGGAACGGCTATGAGCATGGTCGGTTCAGTTGCATGGCAGAACCTGGAATCTACCCTCTAGAGGTTGGTTCCAAGCTTTTGGAATTGGAAGTTTGGAAGGTTTCGGGGTTGGTTCCAGGGTCTACCTTTGGAACATGTTCTTTTTTTTACTATCCCTGAGGAGTGCAAATGGATCGGACCATGATCCGATCCAATTTGGTCAAATTCGAATAACCCCTGTTCGGATCTTCAGATCAGATTGGATTCGGATCACCCTTATTTGATATGAGAAGATTCGATCCGATATATGTTATATATTTATAAATATAAACATATAATATATATATATATATGTGTTATTTATTTATAAATATAAACATATAATATATATATGTGTGTTATTTATTTATAAATATATTATTTGTATTGTATTTCTATAAATTTATTATATTATTTATTTTTTATGAGAAACATGTATATATATGACAAAAGTAATTGAAAAAAATACTTGTATTTTATGTTTTGTCTTTATTTCAATTGGTATATTTTATTTTTCTTTTAATAATTTATTAATTTTTAAAGAAAACAAGTCAGATCGGATCAAATCCGAAGATCCGACCAATCAATAGGACTCGAATTCAAATCAAGGCCTATTAGATCCGATCAGATCTTCGGATCGGATCGAAACCGACATGAACAATGTCAGGTCGGATTCGGATATGCCCTTATTTGAATCCGATCCAATCCGTTTGCATCCCTACTCTCCCTCTTAAAAAAATGAAACATGTCCTTTAACAATTTGATTTTCAATAATAATATATAATTTAAGACTTATATTATGTTTATTGATTAAATTGATAATTTAATATGTAGATTATTATAATATATTAACATATGATTTAAAATTTATGATATTATAATTTAAATTTTATAAATATTATCTTTACATTATTTATTATACACATACAAGTATAGCAGATGATCAAATTACTTAATAACTCAATGGTCAAGTGAGATCATGGCTTTTGTAACAATGAGTGCTTGTGTTCAAATCTTCACATTCATAAAAGTATTTTAGAGTTTATTTCAAGACCAATCCAAGGTTGATTCCACTATGGCCAACTAAGGTTGGTTTCAAGGCCAACCAAGGCCGCTTCATCAGATTGATTTGGGTAGGATTAGATAAGATCAATTCAAAGCCGGTTCAAAGGTCGATTCCGAACAAAACCTACCCATTTACTCACCCCTTCACATCATATCATCCATATCTAGGATTTGGCTTCCATATGGATGGGCCTGATGGGTCTCCTTCCTAGTTATGACAGTGCAATACATCGTCAGCAGTTATTATTATAGACTTACTAGTTACTAACGAAATAGGCTACAATTTAACGAAATTGGGAGGAATGCTAATTTAGTAAGACTAATTGATGGTTGGAAGTTGGAATTTGGAAATGTTTTCCTTTTTTATTTTTTTTAATGTACAAAACAGCATATTTATTAACTATAAGAATTCAGTGCATCAGGATTCAAAGTTTCCAGAAGCCATTCAGGAGGCGAACCAGTCCTAAGTCTACCAAAAAAATTCCTAACATGCAGAACTACTATTCTATGAATACACAAGACACAGATGAGAAGTATTTATGACAAAGTTTGGTTAAGTCTATTAGAGGAAGACAATGAGAGATTTTTCGCTCTTGGAATGGTCAACCCAATTAGTAGGGGACTATTGTGTGGAATTTTTGGAACGTATGGCTGGTCCCTTTTGATTGTAATGACAACTAATGGAGGAAGAAATATCAGTTGATGTAAAAGTCATATTTGCAGGTAGGGGTGTGAATGGACTAATTTTGGGTTGGATTAGTTCAGATTTAATGGTCTAAAGTATTTATTGGACTGGATTGGATATAATCCATCTGTAATGAATTTATATTAGATCGGATTGGATTGAACCAATATTTAATTCATTGATAGAAGATAAGAATTTAAGTGTTAATGGACCAAGTTTGGATTGGAATCGATCTAAATAACGAATTTGAATAGATTGGGCGGTCCAAACATTGAATTAGACCAGTCCAAAATGGTCCCAAATATTCATTGAATTAGATTGGACCTGATCCATTTATAATGGTCTCACACTGGATTGGATCCAATTCGACCAAATCCAGTCCAATTGACACCCTTATTCGTAGGTAATTTAATTCATCCAGATTACCAACTCTCCTTGTTGCTTCCTTATTTCTATTTTTGGGAATTATAATTCCTACAAAATTTACTGAATGAAACATATTTTTTCTTTTTTTTTTTATCCTTTTGGTAAGGAAGTCTGGGGATGAACATTGAATTTAGAGCAGATATTAAACAAGAACTGAGTATAGTGGAAATGTAGCTATATCTCAGTAGGTAGACTGTAATGAACCAAGTTCTTGTTTGGGTGCAGTAAGTAAACTAGAAAAGTTTATTCTTTAAAATCTGCAAAGTTTCTGGGCTTTTTTCATTTGAGGGGATTCCCTCTTGTGACATGTGGAGATATTTGTCTGATGGTCAGAGAATTTCACTGTTGCAGACTACCTAATTTAGTGAGCGTTTGGTAAGTTGGATCATCTTGTTTTTCTTGTTTTTGTCCATCTCACTCATACATCATCAAAGCCTCAAAGGTGGGAAAACTTGCTCATTGACTATTGTTTTGTTTTTCCTGTTGAGTGAATGAGAATGACTGTTTTGAAAAAACAAACGGTTTACAAGTTTCTATAAAGCGGATATTTCTTAAGATGACACTTTTTGTTTATTTATTTATTTAGTAATAATTGAAAGAGATGTGTGACCCATTTTTTAGGAAAAACGTGGCAGTTGACACTACAAACCCATCAACTTTTCCTCTGGAGTATTCAAATTGTGTTGGTTGAAAAATTGAAAATTTTATTTAGATTAGACTTCTAAACATCCAAGTTCCAACTTTCAACTACCTTCATTTTTGGTAGTTGAAGTACTGATGATCGCCAGCCCTTTGGGAGAATTCAGTAGTGAATATGAACACCTTTATTCAGTATTAAAGGTTATGAGAAAAATGAAAAAAAAAAAAATAGCTTGAGAGATATTTCAAAGATTACATCCGTTGAATTCTATATATACTAAGTAAGACTGTACCTAAGTTGCAACTGGGTGGTTGACATGATAATAATTAAAGTATAAAAAAATAAAAAGAAATTGAAGAAAAAAATTTAAATGCATATGTAATATTATATATTCATCATATTACATCAAAAGAAAAATTTGAGATGATCGGTTGACGGTGGAAAGAAGACAACAAAGATGGAATGAAGAAAGTTTCAATAGTGAGGGCAAAGGATGAACAAATTTGTTTGAATAGATTTATCAATGAATTCCTCATTTTTTTCAAAAATGCATTCTGGTGAGTAGATGAAATAGGCCCAATTCAACTTATAATCAAGTGTTTCTCAGAGTTTCTAGATAATGAACATAAACACTGGATGCATGCTTAAGTCTGATAAAACCAAAGGTGAGCATCATTCAAAAAAAAAAAAAAGCAAGGAGAATCTCAATAATTTAGCAATAGTTAGTAACAAGATAAAGAGAAAAATAATATTTTAAGTCAAGAAGTAGCCACGTGTATAAGCTCAATTAGCTTGGCCTGTTTGTGAGAACAGCTTGCCTGAACTTGGCTTGTGCCTCATGGCCTCTATGGCACATTTAGATCCACATGAGTTTGAAACAAGCTTGAATTGTATAAAGATATGGGACATATACTCATGTAAATATATCCAGAATTCCAATATTTATTTAAGCAGATACGCTAAGTTTATAGCCCAAAGGTTGTAGGTTCAGATTTAGACATACTACGTATCATCCTGTTTTTGAAACTCAGTAGAGATATAGCCTATGAGACCGGATCTAGTAGGCAAACCCTTGTGAGCATATACACTCAATTTTCACCAAAAAAAAAAAAATTGTACACTCAACAAATATCTAATAGATTACTTAGGAATTTGCTTTAAATCATTTCTAGGATAAGTTGGAGGTATTTATGACATAGCTGCTAGAAAATTTACTGAGTATTTATTCAATGTGCTCATTAGGGTGTCCTATCTGATCGAGTGATCGGGACCCTTTTAATTATGATTAAAACAGTCATTATCTTATTTACTTAAAAATTAATGCACAATTCATGAAACACTGATACATTATAAATAATATCGGCCAATACGGACCGATACCTTATTTTCTATCTATCTTTCCAAAAAACGAATACACATGGGACCATATTGGCTGATACATTTAGAACTTTAAAACATTGGTCAGTAATGATGGCTGAAACAGAACCTATCAATTGAAAATTGAAAATAACCAGAAGAAAACCCACCAAGAAAACCATTAATTAGGAAGATCAAACTGAGGGGTGGTTGATGGGCAGATACATGCATCTATAGAAATTTACTTCTCTCCAAGTAAAAGGGCTTTTACGATGGTTTCAGGCATGCCATCAATGTATGGAAACATGTGACCTGAACCCTTGAGCTCATGATAGTGAATCCATGGCAGCTTTGCAGCAATATAGCGTTGTAGGCTAACAGGAACAAGCCCATCCTCATCTCCATGCCATAAGTGAACCGAACCTTCGCCATTAGAAAACAGGTTCTCAAGGTCCATGGGGTCGAATTCCCAACTCCCGAACCCGACGATCAAGTCACGGTGCAGGGACTCAAAGTCTCCTTGCTGCCTGATCTGTGCCTGTGGAGAGCCAAAGAGAATTTTGATTAATCAGAAGTTAGTGTTTGATAGTGTGTTCTCTATAAGGTGTGGTGTGGTTGAAATCACATGGTTTGAAGTTTGAACCACACTTCACTTTATATAGGGTGCGGTATGTATCAGGACCAAGCAACCCACAAATATCCACAGAAACTTTATAAAAACTAGTGGAAATCAAATCTGCATCACACCGGATGGTTGAACCAGTGGCCTGGTAACCTTTCTGGGTCTAACCAGCTGATTAACCAGAAAACCCATGACCCAATGAGCTTTCCAGTTCTCAAGCCAGTCCAAATCTGGGATTAAAATTCATAGAGCTAGCTAGGGATGGATGGGCCAAAACAGATACCATACCACATAGGATTCCCTCGCTTCAAACTTCTGGAAGACCTCTTTATCTTGGCTACAAAGAATATCAGGGCTATGGGCTATAACGCTGGAAGCAGGAAACCATTTCTGAGTGTTCCACCAGTATGTGAGCCAGGGAGCGTAGTGAGACACTCCAACTGCCCAACGATCCCGGGGTAGTTGCAGATTATAGGCTTCCAGGGTCAAATTGGTGGGCAGCCCTCTCCACCAGTAGTTGACAACCGGTGCAATTAGTGTTGCTCCTGCTAGCCTGCAAGCATTTCAAACTTTCTATGTCAGAATTGCGATACATACCATACTTTTGGTATCATATCAAAACATATCGATCGATACATATCAGCTTTCAGGGTCATTGATACATTAAATACAACGATTTCAGACTAATGACCATATCCAATGGAAAATAGCCTTCTTAGAGATGGCCTGATTCAATTCAAGCTTGCAACCTGAAACTTTTTGTTAAGGTTATGTTTGGTTCAAAAGAAAAAGTAGGGAAAGGAAGGAAAAGACGRAAAAACCTATATAATGTTTATAAAAGATTTATAGTGAAACAAGATCTCCTGAAAGCAAAAGTTATGTGCACACCCTGAGATCATGGCATCCGGTCACGCTTAAGGAATGCCTGCCAATGAGTTTAAGATACAATTAATTATGGGAGATTCCCAATGTGTTTGGATTCTGCGTGTTTATTTATGGTAAGTCAATTATAAAAAAGTAACTTATGGCATAAGTTAAATTATTGTTAATTAAAAGTAAGTTCTTTACTTCTTTTACTTGGCGTAATTTACTTACTTTTCTGTTCATGGTCAGATGATGTTGTAGAAAAAGCATTTGTTTATAGGAAAAGAAATGCCCCCAAGGCCTTGTTTGTTTGCAGTGTAATTTTATTTATACTGATGAAAATGTATGGAAGTGCAAATGAGTTGAGTCCAAATTATAGTTTAATTTTGTTAGAGGTTTTACTTGTTTTCAGTCACTTCAGCTGTAACTAGAAGGCCCCTTAAGCATGGCTTATGGCTAGCACTGGTACAAAATAAAACATGGCCTCATAAGGCCTCATTTGGGAGGGCTTAGCTTTATCTTAGCCTGTAAGTGGCTTCTTTGAAATAGCTGAGAAAATAGGCTAAACAGGGGGCTACATGAATATGCAATGGCCAATTTGAGTCTCTTGTATCTCAAGTTTGAGGCAATGTGGGTCATGTCCTCCCCTGTTTTCTGTTTTTGGGTATATTTTTTATTAATAAAATAATTTTAAGATAGATAGTTACCCCTCCACTTGGAGTAAAATTTGGTGTTCAGCTTTTTAGGTGAAACCCACCTCACAAAACCAAAAGTCAAAGTAATGAAAACTTTATCAAACAGTCACTAAACAGGTATTTGATTCATCATACATTTATCATAAGTTATATTTTATAATAATAATAATAATAATAACAACAACAACAATAACTTATCACATAAATTAATATATATATATATATATATTTTAATTTTCTAGTGATGATCAGTTGACATCAATAGTAAAGTTATCTATAACACATCATATATGAGAGCTATAGTTGAGGTCATGCCGTGCTTTGGGCCTAAGTCATCAAATATGTTATATTAGTAATTTATATCATATCACATATAATATATGTATAAAATATATATTATTTATATTATATAAAGCATATATTTTGATTTTAAGACAGGTTATAAAAAGTAAATAAAAACATCATATTGTATAAGATTTACCCTAGCTTTATTTGAAAACCTGTCCTTACATCAGTAATTTATATAAATATAAAATATAATATCTAATATATTGAATATGTCATTTTATAATATATCGTATAATTAATATAAAATGACCACTTTGGAGTGTTTGTGTAAAGAACAAAGGTTTTTCAAATTAAATTTGTTCCAGAAGAGAGAATACAGGAACATGTTGGGGCACTTCTGTAGACAGGTTCAGCCAAAAACCCATGCTTGTCCATAATAAGCAGTAATTTAGCCAAACACATATGAGACACCTCTTAATTCTTTATCATTTTTTTTTCTTGAAAATGTAAATAGATTTGAATGTTTTGATAAATTTATTAAATATGGTATTTACATCAAGGGCAAAATTGTAACATAAATCCGAAAAAAAAAATAATTGTTATTTGCTACAGTAATAAATAATATAATATTTAGTGTACAAGCTTTTATAGAATTAAAATATTAAGGAGAGTCAATAATTATACTGTTAAAATGAATTATTGCAGTAGGCAAAACTGTCCTTATGCAATAAATTGCCTCTTACCTTTTGTTTTTTAAATAAGATAATTAGAGAAAGGTTTGGTGTAAAAAAACTAGCTGTAAAAAGTAATCTGGAGTTTTTTTTTTATTTATTTTTTAAGTGAATTGAGTGGTTAAACCAAGTGGTCCTACAATTCGATTCATGACTCAGTGGCCAAAACGGTTTTTCAGTGTTTTTAACCCATTGTTGATGTCCTTGAGCGGGCAGTTTAACAGTGACTCATTTAGGAGGTTATCGGGTTCTTGTATTATTTTATTTTTTATAGAAAAAAATCTATAATATCGCAAAGACATGATCTTAGAGGAACCTTGACCGATGAAAACCCATCTATAAATTTTCATAAATACCACCGGAATGGTTAACATGTTTTGGATACCAATTGATTGGTAACAAGTGTTTTTTGGATATCATATCTTTCCGATATTATAATTAATCCTTTTTTTTAAATATTTATATCTTTTAAATATTATAGTTGAATCCTTTTTTAAAATATTTATAAATTTTAAATATTATAGTTGAATCTTTTTTAAAATATTTTATATTGACAACATTATAGATCGACCCATTGATCTAAATGGTTGAACCTATAACCGATTGACCTAGAGGGAAGAACAATCCAATCTCCGGATCGGGTTTAAAAAAAAAAAAAAAAACTGGTTTACATCCGATATGTCTGAAAGAAGTGTTTGATACCGTACCTATGAGGGATATATTTGAGGCAGCTCCAAATCGCCTGTCCACCCATGGAAAACCCAATTACGTAGAATTTAGATCCGATTCCCAACTGGTCTGCCAGCTCTTCAATATCCAAAGCCGTATCCTTCACGGTTCGTTTGGGGTTAGGATCGCTCTCTCCATACCCAGCTCTGTCAAATGACAGCAAGTAGATGCCCAGCTCTTCAGCAACTCTCTGTAGAAATTAGAAAATACACCACTGGAATCAGCAACACAACTCTTTATCTTCAGATATGAAATCGAAAGTCTCAACCGAGAAGAAAGAAGCAGAAGTGAAACCAAAGCGCAGAGAGATGAGTAAACCTGAGGCAGTGGGATGGCATCATATCTGCAAGAGTCGAAGCCATGAACGAAGATGACTTTGTATTTGGCCTTATCTTTTGGGACACCGTTCTCTTTGTAGGCCAAATGCCTTCCATCTCTGAGTCTTATTCTAGGCGCTGTCACAGGTGGGCCATTTGGGGAGCCACAGATCTTGGGTGGTGGGGGTTGGATGGCCTGATACATCCATGACAGAATCCCGATGAGTAGAAGGACCGAAACTTTCTTGGACATGCCTGAAAGTGTTGAGTTTTCATCACGGAAAGTCATAAACATCGAGCAGATCCATTAAATTCAGATCAAAATCCAGTATTTTCCAATGCATCACTACAATTTAAACAACTTAAGATAACGAAATCTCGATGTGGAAGCGAGTTCATGAAGATTATATTATAGAAAGAGAAGGAACCCAGAAGTCAGAGTTAAGCGATGGGGCAATAAGAGATGTGATCTAATAAAAGAAAGAATGTGAAGAGATCAATCAAACAAGTGAAAGTGAGAAAAGAAAGAGAACCCACCAGAAGGAAGATGGAATGAGTTGCTTTGCATTGATTTTCGTGTGTGAGCCCTTACTGAAGCAGCTGATACTTTTCTGTTAGCTTCCGTCATTTCTACAATAATTGCTTTTTCCTGTACCTCTTATAATCCAGAGTCTGGAAATAACAATATATAGCAATTTATGAAGGTTGAGACTTTTGGCGTTGACAAAAATACCCCTCATTTATTTGACCACAACTCCCAAGTCCGAGACTTTACCAACCAGCTATAGTTGGCGCCTTGCAATGCGGCCAAGTGTATTGAGTTTTGATTTTACACAGAATATATATAATAATACATCAACAGTTTTAAAATGACTGATATTCAAAGGTTAGATATTGTGTGCAGTTTTTCCCTTTTTCTTTATTTGTTTCTTTCTTTTCTTTGTAGGCATTGATGAGTGGAAGATTCTCTGTCTTTATCTGGCAAATCTGTTAAATGTCTTCACCTGTTTTAAACTGTACGTTTCTATCTACTGGGAAAAATATCTCGATCAGTACTGTGAAAATTTGGTCCTCGAACGTTAAAATGCCATAATCCTGAATCTGAATTTTTGAAACACGACAATCCAGTTCTATCGTTAATGAACCGTCAACTAAGACGTAAAAGGACATAAATACCTATCTCATTTTCGATAGTTGAATTTGTGTCATTTTCAAAATGATAAAAATGACCTCCACCACTATAATAACATTTCTCTGTGAGTGGGAACTACTATTCACTGTTCTAACCTATCGAAGAGTACAGTTCTCGCCGATGCCGATGCCGATAAGCAGAATACGCCACTGAAAAAAACTGAAATCAAAGGAAAAATATGGTCGGAGAGTATGCTTGTTGCTGGTAAGGTTTAAAATTTCGATACGATATACCCGATATCGTATCTTTGAAAAACAAATACAAGATATGCATGGAAATTGGGCATTTTGTCTTTTTTTATACATATCAAACTTGTTTCGAAGGCGTATTGGGGTGTATCGGACTGTACCAGTAATGTATTGACGAAAAAGATGCGGCCAAAAACTGAAAAAAAAAGGGGAAAGCAAGCTTTTTTTCCCTGAAATAAGTCTTCTTTCACCCCCAAATGACTAAAACTCCAAACCTCATTCCTAGAGAGCTAGATTTGCAAAAATTTGCAAGAAACAAATGTGAATCGTTATTATTTTTGAAAATTTTTCAAATTTTGAAAAAATATGGCAAAAATAAGTAAAATTTTTCAATTTTTATAATATCTTGTGATTTCTTTTTTTCTTGAACATATAAATTTATGTTGATCTACATTTCTTACATTGAAAATCACAATTTTTTTTGAGTTATCAGTAGATTTATGGAAATTTTATGAAGATATTTGGGGAAATATAAATTAACAAAAAATTGAAAAATGTAATTTTTTTTCTCTGCTTATAAAGACTAAATATGTTTTAGATCTATGGATTTATCTATCATATCCATAGAGCAATTGAAATTTCTTTTTAATATTTATTTTTTATTTTTTTATGTTTATAATAAAAAAATAAATAATAATTAATAATATTTTATCATTTTATCACAACAATTGAATATATTATAATTCTATGGATGATCTATCATATCCATAGACCAATTGGAATTTATTCTTTAATAATTATTTTTTTATTTTTTTATTTTTAGAATTAAAAATAAATAACTAATTAATTATATTTTATCACTTGATCACAATGATCGAATATATTATAATTCTATGGATGATCTATCATATACACAAAGCAATTGAAATTTCTTTTTTAATAACTATTTTTTGAATATATTATATGATGTTAATTTATTTTTTATGATTTTTTAAAATAAATAATAAATAATTATTAATTATATTTTCACTTAGAAGTTGTGCCAATGCATGTTTTATGGTCGGATAGGAGAGTTGGGTTTTTCCCATCCCATAAATCATTAAAACTTAAGAATTTTAATTTATAAATTATAGTTAAGCATAGGATTTTTTTAATGAAATTATAACTAACTACAATATATTTATTCATAAAAGCATTAAAATACATTAATTTAATGTATATACACCTCATTGAGGTCTTATATTTAGTGTTGTTGATGTATTTTTATGATTTATTTAAGTATTTATAGTGTTTCCAAGCGTATCTATGCGTATCTTACTTTTTCTCCAATACGCATGTGTATCCAAGGTATATTCCAATATGTCTCTTAAAATTGTCTTTCTAATACACTTGATGTTTCCGATACTTTGAACCTTGGTTGATGGAATAGAGAATATTTATTGGGAAAATATCACTGGAACAGAGAGCATTTGCTGCCATTAGAAGTGTTTTTAATCCCACTGTCATCGGAGAAGAGAACACTTGTTGTCACGTTAGAGAAGACAAACAAGGTTTGTTTTAATTTTTTTTTTTTTGCTATTTTATTTCTATCCATTTTTCTTTAATGAATTTCATGTGATTCTTTTGTTTTATAACATGAATTTTAATGCCCTTTCTTGGTTGGTTTTGTTTAAAGTTCACATCTGTAATTTTTTCTTGGTTTCCGATCTATCTTTCTTCCCTAATGTTTTTCTGGTGATTCTTTTGCTTTAAAGCATGAATTCAATGTCCTTTCTCTGTTTTTTTTTTTTTTGAGGTTTGGATTTCAGAAACCTAATTAGTGATCTTGGACTTATTTTATTTTTAAATGGTGATGGTTATTATTTTTAAATGCTAATATTATTTTAATTATATATCCTTCTATTCTCTCTGCAACTCCATATCCTCAGAGTTTTGAACTGCGATTCTTCGAGGCTTTATTATTTTGATTAATAATATTTTTTTCCTTTTTTAGTTATTTCTTTGACACCTTTTTCTTTCTTATCTACTTTTCAAACACAGGACTCATTTGATATTGCATCTGAAAACAGATCTGGATTGATTTTTCAAATCTGAAATCGTAAGCGCGCGGCCCATCTCTCAATGCGCTCAGATACATATAAGAGATACCACAAAGTCAAAAATACCCCTTAACAAATTTTGAAATGCCACGATTTGCCCCCTGTTTAACCCCAAACCTAAACTCTATCTCATTTCTGCTTTCTATCGCCGCCTGTGTTCTCAACACCATCGCCGCCTATGTTCTCAGAGATAGCATTGAAAGACCATCGTCATCTGCGTTCTCAAGACGACTGCTCCAAGTATATTCATGGCCATCCCTCCTTTTCTTTCGATCTGGCTCCTCTGTCCTCATAGTATTCTTCAATTTTTTAGGGTTGAAATAGCACCTACACGCCAGACGCTAACCACCGGTGAATAAGCATCAAAGGTATATTCTTCTTCTTTTTCTTCTTCGAGGCAAAGGTCGGCTTCAAAGCATATTTCTCTTCCCGTACCTCAAAGCTGCTTCTTCAAAAAAAAAAATGGCCACAGTTTATGCAACTGTGATGACAATGAAACACACACATATTTGTCTTAAAATACCCAATTATTTGCTTATGAAATATAGAATTCATTTCTAGAAATTTTTTCTTAAAATACCCAGTTATAAAATTTATTTGCTTATGAAATAAGGTTGAGAAATTTTGTAAAAGCTTTTCTGGAATTGATTTGAAACTTATCAAATACATACATGGGTYGAGAAAGATTGTTAAAACTTTTCTAGAATTCATTTAAAATTTATCAAATTTTCTAATTTGTATTCCCTTAATTACAAGTCATATTACTCATGATGATGCATAATCCGGCCGATCTTATCTGTCAACGATCTTGCCTCTGAACTGAGTGGTAGGGCCCTGAAACGGAAGGAGAAGAGAAGCTCCGGGGAGAACTCGACATAAGGGCTCCGAAGCTCAAGTTAGAGTCTTTCAAAGGCAAGATAGACCAGATAGCGCAAAAGTTAGCATACCCCGTTCCTGGGGGGTAGGAGCCTTTTATAATCACCTCGCGCACTCACTTCCAGGCTTCTGTCAGATCAGGCATGATTACTTCTGAACTCATGCCAGTTCGGATGTCATTTCCTCTGGCCGGACAGAACCGCCACTGCTCCTTTTGTCGGAGCCGTCTCTGCGGCTAGTAACGACGGTTGCAGGTGGTGGTAGCAGGAGGCCGTTTGAAGTGCGGCTGTCAGGCGTCAGATCCCAAATCAGTCAGGTGCGTYGCCCTTGGATACGGACGTCCTTGGTGTCAGGTACGTTTGGTCAGCCTGGTGTTTCGGAAGCGGAGTGTTGGAGTGGCGAGCGAGATGTCTTGAGTTCGGTTTGGGGAGTGTTCCGAGCTGCCATGGGCTAGCTCGGGTCACAGCTTTGTGAGGGTTGGGGCCCAGTATAGTTCGTGCTCCTTGCAGGGAGCTCGTGTTCTCAATAGGGAGCTCGCTCTTAATAGGGAGCTCGGACTCCCAGTAGGGAGCTTGCTCTTAATAGGGAGCTCAGACTCCCAGTAGGGAGCTCAGGTTCTTATTAGGGGGCTCGGACCCTTAATAGGGAGCTCGCTTTTAATAGGGAGCTCGGACTCCCAGTAGGGAGCACGGTCTCTTGGTAGGGAGCTCGGACTCCTAGTAGAGCGGTTTGGAGTTCGAGCTCGGTAGTGAGATTGGACTTGCTTTCGATGCTCGCTTTGGGCGCTCTACTGTCTTGAGTTGTTTGCTTTTGCCACGTGTCGGGTGATTGCGAGGTCGGGCCAAATTCCCCTTCATCAATTGCCCCCCACTCCCTGCGACAAGGGTCCTGTCTTGGCGCGGGGAGTTGGTAAGGTAGCAGGAGGGTTTTGGTCCGTGCTGAGGGTGCTCGCTTTAATTTGATTTTCAAAAAA